GCCCCAGGAGGCACCAGGAGGCCCCCGCAACTCGGAGCTCTGAGACGCCGCGCTCGAGGTGGTCCGGCCCGTTTCGCCTGAGACTTCCTCGCAGCACGTTTCGCCCGAGACATCGTCGCAACTCTGGGGTCCGAAATGCCGCGCGCGAGGTGGTCCAGCCCGTTACGCTGGAGACATCCTCGCAACTCTGGGTTCCGAGATGCCTTTCGGGATGAAGAGGAGGTGGACGAGGAGGAGGAGGAGGAGGAGGCATGTTTTAACATGCCATGCCAGCCCGCACTAGGCGGGCACGCAATCGACCTTGGAAACCGCAGTGGGTCTAAAAACCCTGTTTGGGGATACTGCACTCCGGCTATAATTTGATGGAAAGCGTTACGTTGCCACACCGGAAGTCCATGGACGTCCTGGAGTCTCAGGGTTGGGTTTCTTGTGGAAGGTTTCTTGTGGACTGGCCTTGATGGAAGCCATGGGCGCTCGGAGGAGTAGCCAGGCCACCTCCAGGAGCGCGAAGAGAAGTCGCGCTTCGCGCGTCGCGTCCTGGGCTGGAGAGTTGCCCTTCTTCAGGGCGGCCTCGCGGGGGCGCGCAGGCGAACGCGCGTCGCGCATCGCTGGGCGCGATGCGCCAAGTTACAGTCAACCCGCATAGTATGGACGGGCAATTTTCCCAAGTGTGCCCTTGCATCCTTGGCCTCCTTCGGTTCATCCTTGGCCACCTTCCGCTGGCCGCGCCCCGCTCGAAAGGCTTCGAAACGGCCTTCCGAGGCCCTTGCAGCTTGATCGCGCGTCCTTCGGATACGGGTCCACGGTAGGCGACCAGGAGAGGGATCGGATCGGATCGGCTCGGCTGTCCCCGAAGGGAGGGTCTTCTTCAGGGCGGCTTCGCGGGGGCGCCAAGGTGAGCGCGCGTCGCGTATCGTGGGGCGCGACGCGCTGAGTTACAGTCAACCCGCATAGCAAGGACGGGGAATTTTCCCGAGTGTACCCTTGCATCCTTGCCTCCCTGGTCCATCCTTGGCCACTCTCGCAGGCCACGCCCCGCTCGGAAGGCTTCGAAGCGGCCTTGCAAGGCCCCATGCATCCTTGTCGCGCGTCCCTACGATTCGGGCCGACTGCAAGGGGTCGTGACCTCTGGGGGTCGACGTTGTTGCAAACAGAGTCACGACGTCGGGGGTCTGGGAGGGGGAGGAGGAGGAGGAGGAGGAGGAGGAGGAGGAGGAGGAGGAGGAGGCATCGATGGGTGCAGAATGGCCTTCAGGGGCATATCGAGACCTGGGGGCCGACGCTGTAAAAAGAGGCACGACCTGTAGGCGAACCAGGAGAGGGATTGGATCGGATGGGCTCGGCTGTCAAAAGTCCCTGCTGCCGGGCGAGCGTCGGACCCATCTGGGCCCGACGGTCGCAGAAGGGGAGGGAGGGGGAAGGGCCTTGGACGATCGGAGGGGGAGGGAGGGGGAGTCACGAGCGGCGAACGTGTCCATATCCACGCCCTCGCGGTCTGGATTCCGGGGCGCGACCCCGCGGATACGCGGCTGCACGGGCCCCTTCCGCGCGGGGCATCCGCGACAAAAACGCCCCGTGTCCGCGGGGTCGCGGCCCAGGGGCCTGGCCCGCGAGGTCGTGGATACGGATACATTTCTCGCCCACGAGGGAGGCACGGCAGCAGGAGGAACAGGATGAGGAGGCGGTGGTGTTGGTTCGCTGAACCTTTCCCGGACACGGATCGGTGCCTCGACCCACCTTGGGGAAATCACGTCGGGTGCTTTCGCGGGCGGCGTCGTTGGAGGCTGGGCATCTCCGCCGAGGTTTTGGAAGCTCAGCCGAAGCGACCTCTGGAGGAGGAGGGGGAGGAGGAGGAGGAGGAGGAGGAGGAGGAGGAGGAGGCGAAGGCGAAGGCGAAGGCGAAGGCGAAGGCGAAGGAGGAAGAAGTGGAGGAAGAGGAAGAGGAAGAGGAGGAGGAGGAGGAGGAGGAGGAGGAGGAGGAGGAGGAGGCGCTGGGGCATAACAGCAGAGGGAGGGGTAGGATCAGGACGAGGAGGACACACATTGCACCACGATGCTGATGGTACGGAGCAGCAGGAGGAGGCCGAGAAGCGGGAGGAGCAGACAAGGGCTCCAATCCATGTGACAGGCCAGTCGACGGCGATGAGCGGTAAGCAGGAGAAGGTGCACAATTCTTGAAGATTCCGACTGTTGAGGGGTGAGGAGACGTCCTCAGGGAGTTCCACGCATCTGCACACGCTTGTTCGGTAACAAAGCACGGGAGCCTTGTGTACCCTCGTAACTCCGTCTTTGGAGCGTCGACTAGCGTCTGGTAATCGATGAGATAGCGCCGACTAAGCGTCGACTAGCGTCAACAAGCGTCGATCCGCAAGAGCCAACAAGATATCAGGGGAGGATCCCATGAGTTGCCACCGAACGCTTGCCCGCGAGGCAATGGAGCAGGAGGAGGGCCTCGTCGCCGCTCCGCCCCCTCCTCATCCACCAGGCGCCCATCTGGAGCGGCCGCGCGTTCCTTCGGGCCACATCACCAGTTGATCGTCTTCTTCCTTATTGGTTTGCCGACCGGCGCGGGCCCTCGCACCCCCCCCCCTCCCCATCCCCCCCCCACGGTGTAGATCTTGGCTGTTTGGGGCGCCTGTATGAGGCAGGTGGGGTCTCCCCATAGGACGCACTCTTGCAAATAGCCGTATTCAGCAGAGGTCCAGCACCAGGCCCTCCCCCCCTTCTGCCCAATGTCGAAACGCCGAATACATAAAGAAACGTTCACCAGCACGAGCGTTCAACCAAATGCACGAGGGCGCAACCGTGACACGAGAGGGAGGAGGACGAGGAGGAGGGAGGAGGAGGAGGAGGAGGAGGAGGAGGGAGGAGATAGGAGGAGGAGGTACGAGAGGAGGGGAGGAGGAGAGGAGAGGAGTGAGGGAGGAGGAGGGGAGGAGATGAACGTGAGGGAGAAGAGGAGGAGGAGGATGGTGGGGGGGGAGGATGAGGAGAGGAGGAGGGAGTGAGGAGGGAGGGAGGAGGAGGGAGGAGGAGGGAGGAGGAAGGGAGGAGGGAGGAGGATGAGGAGGAGGAGGAGGGAGGCGGAGAGGAGGGAGGACATGGGGGGAGGAGATGGGGAGGAGGAGGAAGGAGGCAGGAGGAGGAGGAGGAGGAGGAGGAGGAGGCAGGGGAGGAGGGGAGGAGGAGGAAGAGGGAGAGGAAGAGGAATAGTAAGGGAACTAGGAAGAGGCAGATGAAGAAGGAGGTCTGACGGAGGAGGAGGAGGAGAAGGAGGAGGAGGGAGGGGAGGAGGAGGGAGGAGAGGGAGGAGGGGAGAGGAGAAGAGGGGGAGTGCGGAGGGAGTGAGGAGGATGCGGGAGGAGGAGGCGGGAGGAGAGACGAGGAGGAGGAGGAGAGGTAGATGAGGAAGAGAAGAGGAGGAGGAGGAGGATGACGCGGAGGGGACATGGTGGGAGGGAGGAAGGAGGGAGGAGGATGAGGCAGGAAGTAGGACGGTTAGGGGGGGGAGGAGGAGGATGAGGAATGTATGCTGAAGATGAGGAGGTGAGGGAGAGTGATAGAAGGAGGAGGAGAGGAGGGAGGAGGAGGATGATTTACTGGGAGGATGGGGAAGGAGGAGAGGATGAGGGAAGGAGGAGGAGGAGGAGGAGGAGGAGGAGAATGGATCGATGGGTGCAGAATGGGCTTCAGGGCAAATCGCTGAATGCAGTAGCATTTGTTTGAGGGTGCTGGCTTAATCGGACTGCCAGGGGGTTATACAAAAGGCGTTGACCTCTGATGGCAGCCCCCCCGTGCACCTAGCGGCCAGGTCTCTCACTCCTCGAGCTCCCTGCCTCCTTTGCTCCACTGTTCATCTGGTCCCTTTACGGCTGCTGATGCCACACATGCTACAACTGTATATAACAGGTTGCGCATACCCGCTCGCACACTCATGGTACTGTTTTTGTTGTCCAAGCGTTCTCCACATCTGACTTAAGTTTGATGCCCTCCCCCGTCGCAGCGGCGATCACTTCGAGATGTTTCCTTCGAGTCATTGCCGCGGCAAGCGCAGCAGACACCATCACATCGGATTCATTAGGTCTCAACCGTCCAGGTCCACATCCATCCGACATGGGCCTCCGCATCACTGATGCTTGACTGCCGCCATCACAAGGCTCTGGACTGGGAGGGATGGAGTCACATTGGATTGGAGGATTGGTGGTCCTACCTGCAATGCTGCAGCAGCACGCTCCAGCCCCACGGGGCTCTCTTACTGGCTTGCGCAGCGGCATCGGCAGTCCCCAGGGGTCGCCGCGTCGCACCCGACGCGCAGCCGCGCTATCGGGGCGGACGCGGGGCAGAATCCTTGCAGAGGTAGGGAGGAAGGACTGGGTATCGCTCGGACGTGTGCATGTTTCTCGGAGAGAAGCATCCTGGATCATCTGGCCAAAGAAGCACGCGCGAAACCGAACAGTGCACGGGGAATGGACATCCGAGCGACGGCAAAGGGAGGGAGGGCCGCCCCAGCTCTACCTACCTATCACCTGGGGCCGCGCGGGCTCTCTGCCTCCCCACAGGCCCCTGCCGTGCTCTGCTCTGCCTTGCGGCCGCCGCGCCGGCGCCGCGGCCACGCTGCCACCCCGGCACAGAGGAGAGCAGCAGCAGCAGCAGCAGCAGCAGCAGCAGCAGCAGCAGCAGCAGCAGCAACAGCAGCAGCAGCAGCAGCAGCAGCAGCAGGCCACCAGCAGCAGCAGGCCACCAGCAAGCGCACCACCAGAGCGGGCCTACACTGACACCCACACTCCGCGCTCCACACTCCACGCTCCACGCTCCACGCTCCACGCTCCACCCTCCACGCTCCACGTCCACGCCCACGCCCGCGCCCACGCGGCGCACTGCTCGGGGGTGGCTGACGGTG